AGAAATATTATGTACTTTTCCTTTTTTATACCTGAATCTGCCATTTCATTGTTATTTTATATCTGATTTGGATTCTGTTTCACTCTTCTTAGGGCCGGGTTAAACGGCAGGGCCGGGTTAGACGACAGATGAAACAACCCGCAGCTTCTCATTTGACAGTAACTCGATGCAATTCACTTTGTGGAACCAAGCCACAAAGTGAAAAGCATCGAATTGCAGAGAACAGTGTTATCACATCCCTACCCAACATTGGGCCCTCCCTGCACTTGTGGGAAGGTAGTCCAAGGTACAACTATTTAGCTTCCCGATTTGCTTCAAGGCTCTATAGCTCTAGATTTTGGTGGTAGCAAATTTATTGGGTGGAGGGATTGAGTGGAGAGGGGCGGATCCTCAGGTTCAACACAAGAACTGGATTGGAAAAGGTCATTGTAGGCTGATGTGAGCATCTTGGGTACATAGCCCATTGCCCTTAATGATGGTTTCTTACTGTTTCTCTGGGTTGTTTGTCAGATAGCCTTTAGTTATTATTTTTCCTTCCCTTTGCTACCTTGGCCCTTTTAAATTCTTGTGTTTAACCTAATGCTCAGCCTTGGTACTCCATTCCCTTCTCCTTCCCCTCTTTGCTACTATTAAAAGTCGGAGAAGTGGAATTCACACCTTGAAATTTCTATGGGGCTATAGTTGTATCTTAATAATGCCAAGTGTCAAAACAACCCCATTAAAATGCCGCCTGATTAAATAATGTGCTGCTAAATATAGTGCACATGAAAACAGCAAGACTGTATATATATGTAAATATATATATATATGTATCTTTGTATGTATCTCTGTATCTGTACCTTTGCTGTATCTTTTAATAAACAGTTTACTTTTATTTAACTTGTTGTGCAAAATCACGCTTGGGGGATGTGGGAGGGTGGAGTCTTAATAGGGGGGTGGGAATTTTAAATACTATAGATTAGTTTTCATCACCTCTTGCCCTTGGTTTCCAAAGCCCAGACTTTTGTCCAAGGACTGGACTAGATATCTGATGCCCATCCGGACGTTTTTCTTACAGTTCTGGGATATGTAGGTCAAGAGACACCTGTACTCTTCACTGCAGGTTCCCTTCTTTGGCTTGGCCATATCATCATCTTCCAGTAAACACTTCCAATTCTACAAATAAATCCTGTTTATAAAATCAGAAAGTGAACAGAACCCAAATCAGAAACTTTTTGATAGTAGTACTTTTTTCCCCAAGCTGTTCACAGGTGACATTTTCACTTTTTGTTTGTTCGACCTGCAGCATTTTGAGGGAACAACTTCTATACAGTGAAGTTGGACATGATAACTAGCCAGTGTAACTTTCAGTTAATGGTGATAATCTGTATTCCCATGGGATTCAACAAGTGAAGCAAGTTGTCCCATCACCAGTTAAGGTCGGGAGGGGCGGGGATAGTTGGTTTGGATAATGTTTTAGTGACACCATTTGAATTGTTAATCCCCAAATCAGGCTACCTGCATATCTCAAGAGAGAAAGGTTAACTGACATTTGCAGCTGACTTAATCTTCTTGTAGTAGCCGAATATAAACCATGCAAGAGGGCTGAACAAACTTACTTAGAAATCCTAATATGTATGCTTTTACTAGTTAATTTCTTGCAGAGTAAGCAGTTAACAAAGAGTTGGGGAAAAAATAGGGAGAGAGTCTGTATGACAAATATTTTCCAATGAAGTGAAGACTTAACAAATACTGCAGAATTCCAAGGGATCTTCCTGAGAAGATAAGTGAGCATAACCGTTTTGAATTTCTTCAGTTCAACTATGGGGAAAGTGCTTAGAAACTCCTGATGCTTACACTTTTTTGAGAGAGAGAGAGAGAGAGAGTGTGTGTATTTGAAATTCAGTACTCAGCCATTTTCAATCTTAACACTGAGTGTGGTGCCTTAGCCTTGTTTGTCATCAAAAGTTGTCAGATTTTAATTAAAGGTTGAGGATAATTATTCTTAAGAAATCTGGTGGGAAAAGTTGAAACAAATAATGGTGACATTTTTTTGTTAAAAAATTTTTCTTACCAAAGAAGAATCCTAGAAGGTAAAATTATTTAACAATTCTTTTCAAAGGGCTAAATGAATAAAGCAGATGATGTCTGTTGGGACGATATGTATAACTATTTGATATAAAACCTCTTTAAGTTACTTAGAAGATTAGACTCAAAGGAACATACAGATTAATTCTAAACAAGAATCCCAACATACTAGGGCAAAGAGACAGGATTGCCTTTTGCTTTTATATCTCTGCATTTTTACCTGGCAATAATGTTAAAACATGTAGAGGAAAGTGTCACAATTTAAAATTTATAGAAGGTAAAAGTCATGAATCTATTATTTATACAATTACCAATGTTTATTATTTAGAGACATACAAAATGTGAAATACTTTCAGTAACATTTTATGGGAGCATTGACCCTTTTGATTTCCTTGTTAGAGTTTGAAATGAAGGCTTCTAGAGTAAAAGGAGATAGCTCTTTTAAATGGTCACCCTTTCAACTGAATAGTATCTTTTATTTTTATCTACCAGTCTTTTTCATTTTAATAAATATAAATGGAGTTTGTGGTTCTTTGTTCTTGAGCATAAAACATTTAGGCAAAGATCACAGATTTTAGCTCCCGAAGAGGGATGAATTAGCTTTGCTATAATCCTTAATCCCACCAATTGTCTTGCATATGAATGCTCTTTGACATGAGTATGAATGGATAGACATTGTGGATGGAGCAGCATAAATTCATTTCTTATGGAAAAACAGCTCATCAGACTGTGTGCGGTACTGCCATAGCATCGTCTTCATACTCAGACACCAGCCAGCATCATCCTCAGTAAGGAGTGACTACAGAACTTTCACCGTATTTGTGTGAATTTGATTTATAAACAGTGAAATAAAAATGTTGGATAACTAATATTTAAAAAATAGTCCTCAGGGGCATTAATTCTTGGTAATAAACTTAGCAAAGATTTATTGGGTAGAAGATTAGAATGTAATCTTTGACATAAGTGGAGTAATAACTCACTCATTAGTGTGGAGTTTTCATGGGTGTAGTATCAATCAAATGTTTTAGGGGTCCAGAGGTAGTATTGTTAAGGTCTAGTGAATGCTTAGGTATTAACATCATCTTTATCTTAAGTAGTTTGCTGGTTTGTATTACCAAATAATATTTTCACATCCCAATGGAATTAAACATTCTTTAATTTATAAGTTCTAAATGTATAGGAAAACTTCCTGGAGTAAAATGAAAATTTTAATTGGAAGTTAAACACATACAGGTCCTAGCACTGCTGGAATGTGTAATACACAGCCTTGTTATTAATTCTTCCTAGATTCTCCTATGTGGTTAACGCTGAATTTCTCTGAACCATTTAGTAGGTTATCTATTTGTTTTCCCGTTGTACTTCATTTAGTCTGTTATACACTGGAGAATTTTGTATGATACAATAAAAAGATTTGTAATTCACTTTTTAAAGCCAACCAAACACATCATAACTGGGACGTTCTGTGGCTTTTATTTTTGTAGTTGTCATTTTGCTCTTTTATGTATTAGCCTCTTTATATTTTAATATTTGCTAAATAGTCTAAAATCATGTTTTCTATACAGACCAAATGCTTTTACTCTAGGTCTGTTTTTTAAAGTTTTATGTCTTTTTTTGAGATATCTATAATTACCAATATAGAAAATAATTTTCTGGTTATAGGTGTTTCTTTATCTGACTCACCCCATCCTAACAGATATCTTTAGCTCCTTTATATCCTTTTACTTACGTTCTAAGAAGTCTCTTAAGATACTTGTTCTTTTTATGTCAACAGTTGTGTGAACAAAAGGAGTAAATTGATTTAGAAGAATTCTCTTTCTAAATCTTTTTAGAAAGAGATTTAGAATTTAGAATTTAGAATTCTAAATTCTTTTCTAAATGAGAAAAATGTAAAAGGCCCACTGATATGTATAATATAGGTCATGAAATGCATGTTACATGGTGCCATTGCATTATGTAATTTCATTATGCCTCAGACACCCTTGTAGGCTTTATAGGTAGTAGTTGTCTGCTTTGTTGCTGAGGGGGAGAGAGTAAAGAATTTGGGCAGTTTTTATTAACCTGAGAATTATATTTCAGGATACTTTTTATGTCAATTTCACCTTAGAGCAAAGGTGAAAAGTCAGTAAATAGTTGCCCCATTATCCTACCTAGAATATTACTACAGAATCATTTTTATACATTAGGTAACATGCTAATCTATAGTGTATTGGTAGAAACTAAGGCTTGTCGATGACAGCTTGGTAATAGTATTCTACAGATTTAAGATTCTCTTTTTCCCAGTTTTTGGAAGAGCCTTTTACCATCATTTTTGGTGCCTTTCTTACATTTCCAGTTTCTGAATATTAAAGCATAATTAAGATTCTAAAGCTCTGTTGTCCAGCAGTTACCAGCCACTGAAAAATCAGGTTTTTAATCACACTGGTTACATGTCAAGTGCTCAGTAGTGATCACTGCAGGAAGTTTTACTGGACAGTGATGCTCTAAAGGGTAGCTGTGGTATTATGAGTGTTTCAATACTGATAAGTAACATTGGGTCTGACCCTTATAACTTGCTGCTTTGGGGATTGTAGTTGGCTTTTCATGCCTTTTTGTATAACTTGAGTTACCTTGAAAGGCTGAAAACAGGCTTTTTGATGTAAACTTTTGAGGATCCTTAAGAGGTTAAGATAATCCTGATACATTCTACTTTGAGTATATGTTTTCACATGTAAAAATAAAAATATGGCCAGGTGTGGTGGCTCATGCCTATAATCCCAGAACTTTGGGAGGCTGAGGTGGGTGGATCATCTGAGGTTGGGAGTTCGAGAACAGCCTGACCAACATGGAGAAACCCTGTCTCTACTAAAAGTACAAAATTAGCTGGGCGTGGTGGCGTGTGCCTGTAATCCCAGCTACTCAGGAGGCTGAGGCAGGAGAATCGCTTGAACCCTGGAGGCGGAGGTTGCAGTGAGCTGAGATCATGCCATTGCACTCCAGCTTGGTCAGTAAGAGTGAAACTGTCTCAAAATAAATAAATAGGTAAAAATATGAAACTAATAGTCAAATTACCATTTGGTAATTTTTGACATGAACTTGCAGTTCCCTTGGTAAGTGTGTTGAAGAATAAATGAAGTTTTATGAAATTTTATTTACATATCAAGGTTGCTATAATAAAATTCCTTTCAGAGTCATGTGAATTTAATATGCAACACTAAGATTCGAAGAGTTTCATTCTGGGGATAAATGGTGAGGCGTTTAGGTTACCTGCTTAATGAAGGCTAAAAGTAAAACTTTTACAGGTATAATAGTTTGCTTTCCACTTAGAAAGAATTAGTTTTATTCTAGAAAAGTTATTTTTTAGAGCCGTACGAATAGATTTGTAGCTAATTTATAGTTGGAAATTAGGACTCAGGAGAGTTAAGTGGGTAGATGCATTTTCCCCAGTATCTTCTCAGATTTTAGCCTTTTCAGAATAGAAGCTTGTTATTTATGTCTAAGCACCCTAACACTTGGATTTATAGAGACTGCTAGGAAAAGCAAAGTAAATGTCAGAAGGTTAATGAGACAGTATTGAGGTGTGCCTTCGAAAATTACCTTGATAATCCTACCTGACAAACCATGTAAGGTAGGCCTAGGGGACATGAATTTTTACTTGAAATATCTGCATTCCCATTTAAAGTCCCAGGAATCAAACAGACTTAAAAAGTAAAAGATGAACATATTAAGTTCCTTAGTGTTGCAGTCTCATTTTGCTTAGATTGATATTTCTAATAGGTCTTAGAAGTATTCTAAAGCTGTGTGATGATTTACTTATATTAACGAAATTCACAGTCAAGAGATTCAATTTGAAAGATGCATTCTGCAGTTGTTTATTAGACTGTTTATAGGTCTCTAGAAAAGATTTATATATATAATAGTCTAATAGTTACAGAATGAATCATTTAATTTTGTTTTCATTTTAAGAAGACATATCAGAATTCATACTTTCTTAAAGTAAAACCTTGATTTAGCTAAAGGAATATTAGTTCATCATCAAGGTAACTAATAATTATGGAGGATTAAAAACAAAAAACAAACAAAAGAATTATGGAAGATTAGGGATTCTGAAGGTAAGAAAAGAAAGATTCGTGAATCCTTATGCATTCTCATAGAATTATTCTCATAGTCATACAGCCTTCTCTACTTAGGCCTTATTCTTAAAAGAAGTCTTTATACATGGTATACAGTCTTAATTACAGCTAGCCTCTACTTGTAAAGAAAATCCTTAGCCGTCAACTATTTACTGACTTTCTCATATTTGTTATATTCATGCAGTGTCTACTTATTCTTTGTATATGAAAACAGCTTCCATATCAGATAAAGCACTTTATAAAAATGAATTTTCTTATGTGAGATAACTAGGAAATACTACTAATGTTAAAAGAACCAAAACCAAGAAGTAAGTTGATACAAATCAATTTGAACTTTTAATTTTAGAACAACAACAAAAAACCAAATACTTATCTTGTTGGGTTTTTCCTTCTGTGGTTAAACCTTCCACAAATCTGACATATTAAGAATTGGCTCCAAAGATTACTTTTTAAAAATTAATTTCTTCTGCTTGCTATAAGATTTTAAAAGGTAGAATATGAGCTTTGAGAAGAAAGACCTAGGACTTGAGACACTTAAAAACGTTAAAAGCATTTCAGTTGATGTTATTATGGACTTCCACAGAAATACTATAACTTTGGTAATAACTGTGGATAAACTGAAAACATGGTTCACTTACTTATATCCTGAATATTTTGTTTAAAGAAATTGGGTTCTTAAGACCAAAGTATCCACAACTGCAAGATGTAAAAGATACGCTGATGAGTGAAGGAGTGATCATAATGGTTTTCTACTTGCTTATTCAAGAATTTCGTTACTGCTTCTGAAGTTTATGTCAATGAGTAAAATGAAAACTGCTAAGGAATGTAATAACCTTTACTACTGTTGAAAAAGTTTGCAGTTTACTATAAATGGCTTTCATTCATCAAGGGTAGGGAGTTTTAAGTTCTTAGTGGAACTTCCTATGATTATAGTTTGATATACATATGTATAGTAGAAAATTTAGTAAATTCAGTCAGATTTTGGATTCAGTTCTGCTGCCTGTGTGATACTTTGTAATTTATCTTAATCTTCTATTTTCTAAGATTAGTTTCTCTTTTTGAGTCTTTTCCCTATTTTCCAAGATTATTAATATGTAAGATGATTATTTTATTTTCAACATGTAGCAACTAAAGATATGAGTCTTTTTCATTTTAGGGGACTCTGGTAATTTGAGATAATTATCTGTGTTTTCCTTCTTAGCCTGTGGACATCTCTACAGCAATGAGTGAACGGGCACTTGCTCAGAAAAGACTCAGTGAGAATGCGTTTGACCTTGAAGCCATGAGCATGTTAAATAGAGCTCAGGAAAGGGTACGTGGCAGTTTTTTGTTTTTGTTGTTTTTTAAATTTACCTTCAGCTAACTCATGTCAATATACCAGTTTTAATGGCTAAATAAAATTTTTGCTAACTACATGGTTAAGTTGTAACATCATTTACCTTAATTAGCTGTCTTATTTTAAATGAAAGTGGTTTGAGGCCTGATCTTTTATTCAGTAAATGTTTATTCTTTACTATGTGGCAGGAACTGTTTCTTGAGGGAAAAAAAAATAGAAGAATTTCCCTGACCTCACAGTTTACAATCTGGTATATAAAAACAACGAAGGGCTTACAACCCTATGAAATGTATAGGTATCAATAGTTGCCATATTTCAGCTGAGAAAACTGAAGTGTAAAGAGTAGTTAAGGCTGGGTGAAGTGGCTCATGCCTGTAATGGCAGCACTTCGGGAGGCCGAGGCAGGTGGATCATCTAAGGTCAGGAGTTCGAGACAACCCTGGCCAAAGTGGTGAAACCCCATCTCTACTACAACTACAAAAATTAGCCGGGTGTGGTGGTGCATGCCTGTAATCCCAGCTACTTGGGAGGCTGAGTCAGGAGGATTGCTTGAACCCAGGAGGCGGAAGGTTGCAGTGAGCCGAGATGGCGCCACTGCACTCCAGCCTGGGCAACAGAGTGAGACTCCGCCTCAACAACAACAACAAAGAGTGGTTAGGTGATATCCACGGTCACACAACTAATTAGTGGGGGATCTTGGATTCAAACCCAAACACTATGAATCTGGAGTCTGTGCTTTTAAAAATGGACAGTTTCTTTGTTTCATTTTTACTGTAAGTACATGTTCAGATAGGAAATACATTGCTGACAGTGCAAGATGTTTAGTAAATCTAATTTGTTTGAATGACAGCTGATTCTTTATCACAACAAATGTTGGCGACTGATGTAGTGTACAGGCTTTTGTAAAAAGTTGTTTTGTAGCTGGGTGTGGTGGCTTATGCCTGTAATGCCAGCACTTTGGGAGGCCAAGGTAGGCGAATCACTTCAGGTCAGGAGTTTGAGACCAGCCTGACCAACAGGGAGAAACCCCACTCTACTAAAAATACAAAATTAGCTTGGCATGGTGGCACATGCCTGTAATCCCAGCTACTCAGGAGGCTGAGGCAGGAGAATCATTTGAACCCCAGAGGCAGAGGATGCAGTGAGCTGACATTATGCCATTGCACTCCAGCCTGGGTAACAACCGCGGAACTTGGTCTCAAAATTAATCTCATGTAAAAAAAGATAAAAAAGAAAAAATAAAAACAAAAGTTTCATGTATTCAATTGTAGTGTTTCCTATAAATACTCTTTAAACGTGTCATGAATTTACTCTGTATTTATAATGTCTCAAATGAAGTAATTAAGAATCCAGGCTGTTATGACATGTATTACATTTTATGAGATAGGAAGGGAGGGTGGGGACCCATTGCCATATGAACTTTTTACATTTTTAGTGTATCTATGTGATAGTTTGAAGAATGAGTATTAACAGCTGTGCCTTTTAGTAGCTATGCTTTTAGATACATTTCACAATCTTACTAGGATTTACTAAATGTTGTCAAACTGCTTTAGAAAATTTAGGCATATTTAATGTTAAGTGTGTATGGATTCAAATATTTAAGTCTGCTTTTCAGCCATTTTTACTTCATGAATTATTACCAGTGACGTTTTAATCAGGGAATTTTATATTGTGAACTGAGACCACTACTTTTTTTCAGATTGATGCCTGGGCTCAGCTGAACTCTATTCCTGGCCAGTTCACAGGAAGTACGGGAGTACAGGTTTTGACCCAAGAACAGTTGGCCAATACTGGTGCCCAAGCCTGGATTAAAAAGGTACACAGTATATGCACATATGAAAGTGTTGAACAAAAAGCTTAAATTTTTTGGAAACTGTTTATTAAAACTGCATGAAAAGACCAGTGGCTCTAACCAAAGTTCCTGAGTAAATTTGCTATGTGTATATGCTCCAGGGTGGACACTGAAGACGGACTGGATTCATCAGAAAATGGCAAATGTATAAATATGGCTCAAGAGCCACTCATTTATACGGTTATTTAAAATATTGCTGCTGCTGCTTTTGAAGGGGTGATTTTATTTAACTATATTTTGAACAATAACAGCGTATCAGGTGCTGTTCAGAATATTCCACAGTTCCTGCTGGACTACTAACCTAATCATTTCAAAGCAGTGGTTCTCAAATTTTTCTTCATCATGGGATACTTTATTACAGGTTTATTTTTGGTGGATCACTGCCCCCAAGAGCCCTCTACCACCTTAATTTTCCATTCCTTGATTCTTTTGTCCTCATGCCCCACCCCTTTCATTAGTGCCTGTGCCTTCTTCTAAGATCTCTTGGCCCCTGTTCCTCACTCCTCTTGTGACCTGTAGCCCCAGGTCCCTTTGCTTGTCAGCTGCTGGTTACAGCCAGTGGTTGGGAGGCCCTAGTATTAGCTCTGCATGTTGTGATCTTGCCTTGGGATTGGAAGGCTGAGGGAGGATGGCTGGAGTGGGGTGGGCTGTGGTGAAGGGGATGGGATGGAGATTAATCTGTGGACCACCATTTAGGCCCTAGTGGCCTCTGGTGATCCACACTCAATTTGAGAACCACTAATTTTCATGTAAGACCTAAAATCAAGGGAGAGGATGGACACCTCATTCTACGAAGACGTAGGTGTACCTGGTTTCAGATTCTGCAGTGAGACCTGTGAACTCCACTTACGGCTGCCTCATCATTGGGGGAGTCTTAGGTGGCTAAGAAGGGCACTCTGAAGAAACACGTTCTGGTGAAGGGACAAAACTTGGTTGGATGGGTGATGGGAAATTTATTACAGGAGTACTGGCAGCATAGCAGTGCTGAAACTGGGAGGCCACGTGGTCTAATGGATTGGGAATGTTTCTTTATCCTGTTGTACTCCTGACTGCTTGTGTGATCGTGGGCAAGTAACTCTTTGGAATTTCCGTCTCCCAGGTGTCTAGTAGTAATGAGTAATTTGATGGTTACCTATAGAGAATTGCAGTGAGTGCCAGTGAATGAGCTGAATTTCTGAAAAATGAGACATAGGTTGCTTTGGGTATTTTAATCTTGTAACTTTTTATCAATTTTGTTTATCTTTGTTGATCTTATTAACAAATTAATATGAAACATCATGTATACTCATGCCTGCTTTTTTAGGACAGTAGTTGCACTGATGTGTATAGTGAGTACACAGTCACATTCATTAAGAAATTACAATTTATGTAGTTTGCTGGGGGGGTTGGTTTTAGGAAAAAGGGTGAAAATGTAGCAAAATATTTTAAAGATTGAAATTATCTTGGACTTCTATATTATAAAAAATGGCTTTAGTTTTAATTCTTTAATACTATTTAGTCTTGAAGCCGAGTACTCAGCCAATATTTCAGGAAGTTAGAAATAAAGCTTATGGGTATTAAAATTGGCACATAATACACAGTCATATACACTGCTAGGTAGAGACTTTGAAATGTGCTTCCATTACAAAATTTTGGTATTTATCTAATGATGTGCTGATCTATATATATGTTTATATATTTCTAAATATGTTAATAACTTAAATAACTTTTAAAAAGTGAATCTTTTTCTGATTCGATTGGTTTTCCCCTAAAATAATTACTTCTGGTATTTGTAGTCTTGTAGGCAGTTAACAGACTTTAAGTAGTTTTAAAATGTTTAATAGCACCTTTAAAAAAGGCATTTGTCTTTATATTTTATGTAAGATATACTTTGGGAAGCAAATCATTTTGATCATTTATGAGATAAAGATATGTTCATCAGACCAAATTTTAAATTATAGATAAAAGCAGCACTTATAGGAAAAGATTCATTTGTATAGAATTACTGAAGAATATTTGATGCTAGTATCAACTAAAAAAGAAACTTTTTAAAGTTAAAAATGGGCCACAACATGTACAAGTCATTAGGCAACTGAAAATTTACCATGTATCATCCCTGTTAAATATCACAGATTGTCTACTCATTAAATGTTTAGTTGTGTTTAGAAAAACCTGTCCAAACGATCATTTTGGATTTTCTTCTTTAGTACAGTCCAGCATCCTCATTATGTGTTAAAAAACACATGGAATACCAACATTTCTCTATGTTCTTTCATAGTTTGTTGCAGTATATTTTTAGGTTAAAA